CTCCAATCCGCTGCTTGGCCATAGCGGATAAGTCAACGGGTGTCCCCAGGTGCAAAATCGACAGAGACATTGCGACCATGCCAATGAATGGAATTCGAGGGGAGCCTCGCCTCTCGCACTCTCTGGAGTGGACGAGCGAGAATCAACTAGAATGAAGATGCCTCGCGAAACCGAGTGATTTCATTCCATGGATCCAGCGGTCTTCCACGTTGAGGTGACAATTGCATTGACATTCATAACTTTTTGGACTATTTTCCGGGAACAAAATTAAAGGGAAATCCATTGCACCGCTCTTGTCAAAAATCTTTTTTCCATTCAGAAGCGTCGTGGTCATCAACTTAGAGATGCTTTCCTTCTTATTCAAATTTAAACATTCACAGCACGATTGATAATTTCGAATTTGATTCAACGAGACCGAATTCGCCTTCCTTTTTGGAATCTTGAAAATTTTGACCTGCCATTTCTCGAAAATGGAAAAACAAAGGTGAAGTACGAAATGTTTCTAGCAATTTATTCTGAATTTGATTTGCATTTTTGCCAATTTTTACCAAATGTCTTTTGTGCATGAGTTCAATAAAATACTTCTGGGACGGAAATGCGAATTGCCGAGATATGACTAGGGAGATGAGAATGACGAAGAAAAGCCAAGATGTTCAGCCAAAATGATGGGGACGATGATGCCCGAACCCTCCGAATCCTCCTCCGTACCCTGAGTACCAAATAAGAAAAGAAAAAAAATTAGTTTTTCCTATTTTTTTTTGTTGACAACAACTTAAAACTGGAAAGCAAATTATCTTCAAGGGAATCCGAAGGAATCGAAAAGATGGCGAACACCCCCTATACGCGTCCGCGATATCATTTGAAAACCATAGAAATCCTGAAAGTCATGAATCTTTGAAGTCACTTTGAGTAATATATGCTCATGGCAACATTGAACTCTATGGCAATAAAGCAACAACATAAAAATCCTGCGAAGAAGTTACGTCATTTCGCTCCTTGGTTAGATTATCTTCCAGGTTTATGAAGGCCACAAATAAGGGGCTGAAACTTACCGTTTTAATGCATAAATGATATGGAGAATTGTCTAGAATCTGTGTAAAAACAAATTGCTAAAATTTTTTTTTGAAGTAGCATTTAGAGCTGAAGCTTACTACGATTTATTATCTCTCTCCTTGGGATTTCCATGCAGCATGAGAATTTTATATGTTATTCTCTTGGGGTTATCATGGGAATGGGTAATCACGAAAAATCAAAGTAGCTTCACGAAAGCGTCTTTTTGGTTGAATTCCTGCAATAAATTGAAATAATACATTGCAATAATTGATGAAAATAACGAAAATTTTCATTTTCATTTACTCTTCATCATCATCCTACCAATAAATAAATAATTCAATTTTCAGACAATTTCATCAGAATTTGCTTCGCGCAAATCTCAACATAAAATAAAAATCACTTGCCTCCATAGCCGCCACCGTAGCCTCCATAGCCTCCAAAGCCCCCCAGGCCTCCATAGCCTCCATATCCACCATAACCACCGTATCCTCCATGGCCGAATCCTCGATGGGCAGACTCAGCAGCGAAGAGGTCTTCTTCCTCGTTGCCTGCTCCCAGGGCCACGGCCATCAGACAAACCAACCCCAACAGTCCCAGCATCTGCTCATCAACAAAAATCCACTCAATTTCTCTACCGGAAGCTGCATTCTCCAGGTGTCCTATTGCACAGGAAAAGACAAGGCTCTATATGTTTTATAATAAAAAAATAGCATGTATTCTCATCGAACCAGACCCATGCCTATACGGAATGCTTTTAAATATAGAGTATATATGTACGATGCAATTTCAATACATTTCAATATATATATGGCTTAACATTGAATTGATAATCAACGGAAAATGGTCGTGACTGGGAATTGCTTTACTTGAAACTGAACGAGGGATACTTTTCTCAACACTTTAATTGCTTGATACATGAAAAAACTCACGAGCTTCATTTTGGTGATGTGTGCGGCGTCGAAGTACAGCAGTTGATTTCACAAGGATCGAGAACTCTTCAGAGAATGAGTAGAATCGGGTCCAGTGCAGGGTATTTATACAGGTATGACCTTGCCCCTTATGGGAACTGCGTCAATAACGTCAATCCATTGACAAGTAGGAAGTCTGACCAAAACCTGAAGAAAAAGGTCCTTCTTTTCTACCTTCGTTTTTTCGGCTGCAAAAATGAAGTCTCTCTTCTTGGAAATACTATAATAGACGGCCCTTACATGGTCAGGGAGGGATTCCCCATCTGGACGGACCATGCGCAGGAAGCCCTCAAGGTCAATGTCATGAATTAAAAAACTCTCGTTATTCTGGTTGTCATTAAGGCCAAGCTCCCGTTAATTCGGGCCTGAGGAATAGCCCCGGCAGAAAAACACGTGAAAATTTTTCTCCCATGAATTCGAATGCTGTTCATAGCTCTCTTGTCCCTTGTGTCATTCTCCTTCATCCGTTCGTGATGGAAAAAGCGATGCATTTTAAAATAAATACTTTTTCCTGCGTCTCAATTCCCCCTGGAAAAAAAAAAACAAAGAAGAAATCACTCTTCCCCTCCTTTTTCAAGATTCTGGATTTGTCTCTTCAGCAAGACGTGAAGTCTTATAGAAGACTTCACGAGAAGTTTCATTTCTTGGATCGTTCTGACAAGGATGAAAAGCGTGTTTTGTTTCGCCCGGTTACATTATTAGAATATTCCAATATCGAAAGTCTGAGTTAAAAGAAGTGTCGCGATTAATTCTAACATGCAGACCTGGCATCCCTCTTTGATGGGACACAAACTCGAAGCTCACGTCTCTCGTTCGTTTCCGCGAAAGTCGGACATTTTTCGCGGAAACTTGCGCTCGTCACTGAGCTCATAACAGAGCTTTTCAATCTTTTTTTTTTCCTTTGCTCAGCAGCAAAAGGAAATTCGGGATTACTAGGAATGGACTAGTCGAAATCGCTGAGTCAGTAATTCCAATAAAAAAGAATTAATTAAATTATTGTATTTTTGCGCACTCTGGGAACGTCATTTTTTTTCTTGAAAAAGAAGAAAAAAAAAGAATGGTCAATTCGGCAGGCAATTGATAATCTGGACGCCCAATTAATCCAATCAAAATCGCCAAACCCATGAAGCAAGGATTAACGAGAATTGGCTCCATTTTAAGCCATTTATTCCTGTGAGATTCGGGAGCCTTGCATCATCTTTCGTACGTTTTGCATTTTGGTGGTCAATCACCTTTTGTTGTGCACGGTTGAATGAAAATGTTTGCATGCAATTAATATTGATGATTTCTGGATTAAAAGGGTTAAATCGTATAATCTACGTAAATTGAAATATTTTTTTCCCATTCATCAGTGATTGCAGCTGAAATTACGCTATGACAATGGCATGTTACGCACAGCATTCCCGACTCACGTGCATGTTCACGCGTGAGTAAGTGGAAAACCGACGGTTCAAACGCAGCTTTGCTGAAGGAGAGTGCATATTTATATTTTCCTCCATCATTCCTTATGTCTTGCTCATGAAATAAGAAGTCACCTCGTTAGCAAGTAAAAAAGAAAACAGCGTTTCTTACGCGAAGACTTTCTCGAAACCTCCACTTGAGTCGTCACTCTCCCTTCATCCCGCATGTCGGATTTGAATTTCCTCGCCACCCACCTTGAAGTCCCTCACGACCCACCTCGAAGTCCCTCACGACCCACCTCGAAGTCCCTCACGACCGTTGGGCATTTAGGCCTCACGGCCTCTACGCCGGGCGAAAGTCTGCTGAAAGCACGGTAGAAGACCTACTAAACCCTACGAGTGTCCCACCTATCCTTCTAAAGTAGGAGCCGTAAAAGGTTTAGAAACGGTGTAGGGATGCAACCGCGTCCTCACCTGCGTCGAAGTGATTCTATTCGTTTAGGAAAGCTTCAGTGTCTGCCCTTTCTGCAATGTTGCCATCTTCTTGGTGCAGATCGGTCTGCAAAGTGGTATCATCTGCTCCTCAATACGATTTTTTTCCCTCATGCCATTTCTGATAATGGGAAAAGTATGGGAAGATGGATGCAAGTGTAATGGATTATCTAAAACTAGCTCCAGCGGAGAGAAAGATCTATTCATCTGAAAAACATATCGGAGAAAGTTTTGCATGATACCCATGAGAGGTGACCTTCGTCACGGGAACTTCGCTTGGGATGAAAGCAACTCTTCCATGCAGCTTGGGAATATTCAGTTTGCATCCTTGATGAGCCTTCAGGGAACGCATGAATTGAACAGTATTTTATCGCTCTAAATTTCGGACATTTCAATCGCAAAGGAATGTTCACAAGAACGTTCATGGAACGTGGAAAGGCCTTAAATGGAAGATGGAATGAAAAGTTCGTTGAACATTCATTAAACGTTCCAGTCCTGCTTGGGTAGGGCAGTTGCAAAGAGTTCAACAGCAAGACAGTAGCATTTGAGATCTCTGGAGGTAATTTAAACAACTTCTCCAGGTATTTGATCCAACGATGACTATTTAATTGCTTACCATGCACCAACTTCATGCATGCTACAGCCTGATGCACGAAGCTGATACATAAGTCACTGTCCTCAAATACCCTCTGCGAATAAAATCATCAAGTTTTGGAATTCGTCGCGCCGACATTCGTAAGTGTCGAGTCTGTTTTCTCTGCGGAAGGGAAGTGATGTGCTATCAGTCCTGCTATATTCTCCACTGCTTTCTTTTTCCATTCGGATGGGCAAGACCAGCATCCGGTCTTGTCCACTGACTTTCAGGCACAAAAAAAATGCAAATTGCCAGCAAAATCAGTCACTTTCGCATTGGATGAGTTGGACGAAGCCAAAATGGACAGTCCTCAGGATTTTTACCTCTTGGAAGCTGATGGCAATTATTGAAAAATGAAATAATAGAAAATAGGTTCGAATTAATTTCGGACGTTTATTCATAAAAAATAAAGGCAGCCAAATGTCTTTGGTTTGAGTCTCTTGTGCATGAACTTCATGAACGGCAATGTGAATGGCAGAGGGATGATCGATGAGATGAGAAAGATGAAGAAAGGGTAAGATCTTCAGCCAAAATGATGGGGACGATGATGTCCGAAACCTCCGAATCCTCCCCCATAGCCTGAGTAACAAATAAGAAAGGAAAAAAGTTAGAAATAACTTTTGTAATTAGTCATACCATTCAAATTCCAAAAGTGAATTATCTTCTGAGGATATGGCAGGAATAAAATGACAGATTTCAACGGCCTTTGCTTGCATTAAGGTAAAAAACGTATCGCGATCGTGATATAATCAGAAAACAATTTAAATCTCGAAAATCGTGAAGCGTGAAGATGCGCAGCTCGCGGCAACATCGAACTCTGTAGCAATTGAACTAAGGCTTAAATATCCTACGATAAAAGAAGGTAATATCCGCTCTACAAATTTTCTTACGAGTGCGTCAGAATGTGCACATTTTAAACCTTAAGATGCAAGTCAAAATTACCTCCATAACCGCCTCCATAGCCGCCACCGTAGCCTCCGTAACCTCCATAGCCCCCCAGGCCTCCATATCCCCCATAGCCTCCATGACCGAATCCTCGATTGGCAGACTCAGCAGTGAAGAGGTCTTCATCATCGTTGCCAGCCCCGAGGGCCACAGCCATCAAACACACCAGTCCCAACAATCCCAACATCTGTTCATCGAAAAAAATCCACTGAATTTCTCCACAAAAAGGTTCGAGTACTACGCATCCTAACACAAAGGAAACAACAAATTAATATAATACTCATAAATATAAAATGTGATTATATGGAATACGACCTATACATTTACAGAATACAATTAAACATATAATTAAACTTGTACAAAAGCCGTTTAATACGTTTGAAATAATAAAAGTATTTTCACTGAATTGATAATAAAAGAAAAAGGTAATGACTCGTCTTTTTGAAACTGAATGAGAGATTCATTTCTCGATGTAGCCATTATCAGGAAAATAAATATACTCACGAGTTTCATTTTGGTGATTCGTGCGGAGTTGAAGTACAGAAGACTGTTCCACGAGGATCGAGATCGCTCCAAAGAATGAATAGAATCGGGTCCAGTGGAGGGTATTTATATACAGTTGGAAGGCGGAACTGGGAATACCCTTGACGTAGTTATTGCAGTTTGGTATCTGTTCCTTCTTCAGTCGGGTTATGTACTTCTTTTCCAGGAAGATAAGATGGAAGGAAAAGAGCCGGCGTTTTTGTTTGTCTCCCTTCTTGGAAATGCTATAATAGGCTGCCCTTATATGGCCAAGGGGGGTTCCCCATCTGGACCGACCATGCGCAGGAATTCTCAATGTCACGGTCATGATTAACTTTCCACTCTCGTTATTCCGGTTGTCATTAATCCCGATAATTCAGTCATGAGGCGTACGACACGGAAGAATTCCAAAAAATTGCGTTAAAAAATTATCCCATGAGAGATTCTCCCATTCTCCTGTATCCCTTATGTCATTCTCCGTTATCCGGATTTGATGGGAAAAACGATTAATTTAAAAATAATTTCCTCTCGTGCGCCTCAATTCCCCAGAGAGATAAAAAGGCACGAGGAATTATTCCTCCCATACCTTTCCACTATTCTGAACTTTTTTCTTCAGCGAGACGTTGAGTCATGTCCGCCCTTGTCATTCGAGTCGACAGAAGTCTGATTTCATGGATCGCTCTGATATGAGTGAAAAGAGTGTTATGATTCCCCTGGAATGCAATTAGAATATTGCAATATCGAAGGTCTGAGATTAAAGATAGTGCCACGAATAATTTTAATATGCCGGCTTGGTGTTCATCTTTCATGGTAGTGAACCCACGTTTCTCGTTCGTTTCCGAGAAAATCTACTCATCACTGAGCTCGGAAGAGTGCGTTGGCTATTCATTCCTGAAAATGGCTTTGAAATTTTTTTCCCATTGATTTCCTCAGAAGCAATAAGAAATTCAGTATAACTTGAAACTATCTGGTCGAAACAGATTAGTCATTAATACCTATTCCCAAAAGGAAAGAAAAAAAAATTGTATTTGTGTTTACTCCGGGAGCGTCAATTTTTATGAAAAAAAAAAGAAGAAATGGATGGTCACTCGGGCAGACATTTGATACTCCGGACAAGCCATTAATAAAGTGAAAATCGTGTTAAATCCGGAGTGCCGGAGATGCGGCCCGCTTTCAGACGACTTTCGTGCCATCTTCTGGATGATTTGGGATGCTCACAGGGTGGATAGGAAGATTTCATCCTCGGCATTTTCCAAATCTTTGCCACAGGGGATGCAACCGCGTCCTCACCTGCGTCGAAGTGATTCTATTCGTTTAGGAAAGCTTCAGTATCTGCCCTTTCTGCAATGTTGCCATCTTCTTGGTGCAGATCGGTCTGCAAAGTGTTATCACCTGCTCCTCAATACGATTTTTTTCCCTCATGCCATTTCTGAATATGAGAAAAGTATGGGAAGATGGATGCAAGTGTAAAGGATTATCTAAAACTAGCTCCAGCGGAGAGAAAGATCTATTCATCTGAAAAACATATCGGAGAAAGTTTTGCATGAAACCCATGAGAGGTGACCTTCGTCACGGGAACTTCGCTTGGGATGAAAGCAACTCTTCCATGCAGCATGGGAATATTCAGTTTGCATCCTTGATGAGCCTTCAGGGAACGCATGAATTGAACAGTATTTCATCGCTCTAAATTTCGGACATTTCAATCGCAAAGGAATGTTCACAAGAACGGCCATGGAACGTGGAAAGGCCATAAATGGAAGATTGAATGAAACGTTAAATGAAACGTTCCTTGAACATTCATTAAACGTTCAAGTCCTGCTTGGATAGGGCAGTTGCAAAGAGTTCAACAGCAAGACAGTCGCATTTGAGATCTCTGGAGGCAATTTAAACAACTTCTTGGTACTTGAACATGGTATTTGATCCAACGATGACTATTTAAATGCTTACCATGCACCAACTTTATGCATGCTACAGCCTGATGCACGAAGCTGATACATAAGTCACTGTCTTCAAATACCCTCTGTGAATAAAGTCATCAAGTTTTGGAATTCGTCGCACTGGCAATCGTAAGTGTCCAGTCTGTTTTCTCTGCGGAAGGGAAGTGATGTGCTATCCGTCCTCCCACATTCTCCACTGCTTTCTTTTTCCATTCGGATGGACAAGACCAGCATCTGGTCTTGTCCACTGACTTTCAGGCGTCGAAAACTGGAAATTGCCAGAAGGATCGGTCGCTTTCGCATTGGATGAGTTGGACGAAGCCAAAATGGACAGTCCTCAGGGTTTTTACCTCTTGGAAGCTGATGGCAATTATTGAAAAATGAAATAATTGAAAATAGGTTCGAATTAATTTCGGACGTTTATTCATATAAAAATAAAGGTAGCCAAATGCCTTTGGCTTGAGTCTCTTGTGCATGAGCTGAATGAAAGACTTCATGAACGGCAATGTGAATGGCAGAGGGATGATCAATGAGATGAGAAAGATGAAGAAAGGGTAAGATGCTCAGCCAAAATGATGGGGACGATGATGTCCGAAGCCTCCGAATCCTCCCCCATAGCCTGAGTAACAAATAAGAAAGGGAAAAAGCTAGAAATTAATTTTGTAATTAGTCATACCATTCAAATTCCAAAAGTGAATTATCTTCTGAGAATATAATAGGAATAAAATAACAGATTTCAACGGCCTTTGCTTGCATTAAGGTGCATAACGTATCGCGATCGTGATATAATTAGAAAACAATTTAAATCTCGAAAATCGTGAAGCTTGAAGATCCGCAGCTCGCGGCAATATCGAACTCTGTAGCAATTGAACAAAGGTTTAAAGATCCGGCGATAAAAGAAGGTAATATCTGCTCTAAAAATTTTCTTACGAGTGCATCAGAATGTGCACATTTTAAACCTTAAGATGCAAGTCAAAATTACCTCCATAGCCGCCTCCATAGCCGCCACCGTAGCCTCCGTAACCTCCATAGCCCCCCAGGCCACCAAAGCCTCCATATCCCCCATAGCCTCCATGTCCGAATCCTCGATTGGCAGACTCAGCAGTGAAGAGGTCTTCATCATCGTTGCCAGCCCCGAGGGCCACAGCCATCAAACACACCAGTCCCAACAGTCCCAACATCTGTTCATTAAAAAAAAGCCACTCAATTTCTCCACAGTAAGGTTCGAGTACAACGCATCCTCTCATAAAGGAAACGACAAGTTAATATACGTCTCATAAATATAAAATGTGATTATATGGAATACGATCTACACATATATAGAATACAATTAAACATAATTAAACATGTACAAAAGCCTTTTAATAAGTTTGAAATAATGAAAGTCTTTTCATTGAATTGATAATCAAAGAAAATGGTATTGACTCGTCTTTTTGAAACTGAATGAGAGATTCATTTCTCGATGTAGCCATTATCAGAAAAATAGATGCACTCACGAGTTTCATATTGGTGATTCGTGCGGAGTTGAAGTACATAAGACTGTTCCAAGAGGATGGAAATCGCTCCAGAGAATGAATACAATCGGGTCCAGTGGAGGGTATTTATACAGTAGGAGGGCGGAACTGGGAATACCCTTGACGTAGCTCTTTTAGTTAGGTATCTGTTCCTTCTTCAGACTGGTTTTGTACTTCTTTTCCAGGAAGATAAGATGGAAGGAAAAATGCCGGCGTTCTTGTTTGTCTCCCTTCTTGGAATGGCTATAACAGGCTGCCCTTATATGCCCAAGGGGGGTTCCCCATCTTGACGGACCCTGCGCAGGAAATCTCAATGTCACGGTCATGATTCACTGACCACTCTCGTTATTCCGGTTGTCATTAATCCCGATAATTCAGTCATGAGGCGTACGACACGGAAGAATTCCAAAAAATTGCGTAAAAAAATTCTCTCCACGGAGAGATTCTCCCATTCTCCTGTTTCCCTTATGTCATTCTCCGTTATCAGGATTTGATGGGAAAAACGAGGAAATTAAAAAGAATTTCTTTTCGTGCGTCTCAATTCCCCAGGGAGATAAAAAGACACGAGGAATCATTCTTTTCATACCTTTCCACTATTCTGAACTTTTTTCTTCAGCGAGACGTCGAGTCATGTCCGCCCTTGTCATTCGAGTCGCCAGATGTCTGATTTCATGGATCGCTCTGATATGAGTGAAAAGAGTGCTGTGATTCCCCTGGAATGCAATTAGAATATTGCAATATCGAAAGTCTGAGATTAAAGAAAGTGCCACGAATAATTTTAATATGCCGGCTTGGTGTTCATCTTTCATGGCAGTGAACCCACGTTTCTCGTTCGTTTCCGAGAAAATATTCTCATCACTGAGCTCTGGAGTGCGTTGGCTATTCATTCCTGAAAATCGCTTTGAAATTTTTTTCCCATTGATTTCCTCAGAAGCAATAAGAAATTCAGTATAACTTGAAACTATCTGGTCGAAACAGATAAGTCATTAATACCTATTCCCAAAAGGAAAGAAAAAAAAAATTGTATTTGTGTTTACTCCGGGAGCGTCAATTTTTATGAAAAAAAAAAGAAGAAATGGATGGTCACTCGGGCAGACATTTGATACTCCGGACAAGCCATTAATAAAGTGAAAATCGTGAAACTCATGAAGTAAGGATTAACCTGAAATGGGTGCAATTTAAGACTTTCAGTCATCAGAACTCTTCCATTTTCCCGCATATTTTTCAGAGATTTATAAGAATGTAAGACTTGGCTTCACTTTTGAGTCCCTGTCACCTCTCTACGTGTTTGTCTTTTGGTGGTCAATGACGTTTCAATGCGAAGTATTGAATGGAAAATTTTCCTAATTATTTATATTGATCAACTCTGGAATGAATGGGTTATACCCTCGTGTAATCTTCGTTTTAGGAAACAAAAGTTTCTCCCTTTTTCCTTCTTTTTCTTAATGCCTGCATTAAAATTATATCACAATGGATTCCCTATCTCATGCCTCAAAGGGAATTCACGAATCACGCGCGAGTTAAACCTTGATTCTTAACA